TTTGAAAAAATTAGCAAAAGTTAACACCGAGGGAGTCATCCAGTATCACTCTGGGAAATACCAGGAGGGAACGCGCTTGCACATCTTTGAGAAGATCAAGTTATGGCTAGACGATCTTACATCTGAAAATCGGGTGATGGTAATCAGTGGAGATGCGGGAATGGGCAAATCAGTTATCGCCGCTGTCGTCTGCCAAAGAATGCAACACGCTGGTCGGCTCTCAGGAAGTCACTTTTGTCAGCACAACAAGGAACGTTACAGAAACCCGAAGGTGATGCTGCAGTCGTTAGCTTGTCAGCTGTGTGATGTTTTACCAGAATACAAAAGTGAACTTGTGAAGAAACTTTCTAGAAACTTGGGTGTGGACATGAACAGCCTAGAAGTTCAGGAGTTGTTCGAATTTCTTTTCGAAGAGCCTTTATGCAGCGTAGGAGACCCTGGGAGAAATTTGCTGTTAGTTATTGATGGCCTGGATGAAAGTGAATACAAAGGCCGCAATGAGCTGCTTGATGTCATTGCTAATCACTTTTGCACACTTCCTGCTTGGGTTCGGTTTTTTGTCACCGCTCGACCGGAAGTAAATATTGCAAGCCGTCTTACAAAGTTTAATCCTGTTCAGCTGAAGCAAGAAGATAAAGAAAACGTTAAAGACATCAGACTCTTTCTTGAGAGACAGCTAAGCAACGTCATTCAATCGGGCTTCGAAGAAGTCGTTATCAGTAAACTGACCCAAAAAGCTGCAGGACATATTTTATATGGCTATTTGATGGCCGATTTTATCAACAACAACTTTTCAAGTTTCACCCCTGAGGATTTGGGAAGAACGTTAGCTTCGGGTGCATCATCTGTTTATGAGAAATATTTTGAACGTTTGGAGAAAGATTTGAAAAGTATTGAGGAATTGACGATAAGTGCTGACCAGTTTTTGACTTTTCTTAGTGCTTTTGCAGCTGCAAAAGAACCTCTTCCACTAGACTTTGTTTCTAAGATGTTGCGTTCGGACGCAAAGTCTCTAGCTTGTCACCGGAAAGTAAGAAAGGCTATCGATTGTATCTCAACTCTTCTTCCTGTTCAAGATGGCTGCATTCACTTCTTTCACAAATCAGTTAAGGACTGGTTGACTGACAGAACTGCTAACGGGGAACACCGCTTCTCTGTGAATGAAAAACAAGGTCACCTTGCCCTGTCTGAGCTTTGTACTGGTGAATTAAATGATGTGAAAAGAAACGGTTTTCACGACGCAGAGATCAGTGGCATTGCGAGGTACGCCCTACAGCATGGTGTTTATCATATGCTCGAGTCAGAAGAGGTAGAGGAGAGTACCAGAAGCTTTGAAGAAATCGTTAATAACTATGTTACCGACTTAGACATTGTGTATGCAAAGCTTTGTGTACACAACTTGGTTAATTTTGAAGACATTATCCTTGTTCAGAAACGAGAAGCTTTTAAGTCATTGACCGTTGAATGTCAAAGAGCCCTTAGAACGTTGTTGTCTCTCTTAAGAAAGTACAATAGAACACTTACGGCGCATCATCATACAATTTTTCAAGTGATGGTGAACGAGGGTGGAGACATTTTTGCTGGTGAAGCAAAAAAGCTTTTACAGACCAAATATCATGAAATACCGTACATGACGTACGTTCACAGTGTGGCTGAGGAGAAGCAGAATGAGTTCGAGGCTACTTTTTCCTGCACCTCTCCGGTGGTTTGTTTTGATATTTCGCCGCAGCAGGAGTTCATGGTATGTGAATGTGTGGATGGGACGATTTACTTGTGGTCACTCATAACAGAAAACCTTCAGTGGAAACGTCCGGTCAAGGTCAACAAATGTTACGATGATGATCGCGAAGTGCATAGAACGGTGCCGAACTCACCTGTGTTGTCATTTTATCGCTCTGTCGCTTTTCATCCTTCTCAGACCATTGTTCTTCCTGGAATCCTTAGCCATGCTTATTCGTTTGAAGGAGATCTCGTACCTCTGTTTTCTAGGAGCAAGTGCAGGTTTTCAGTTTGTTCAATTAACGGGGATGAGAACAAAATGATCACCGATTGCCCTGACGATGCTAAAAGCCTTGTCATGTGGAATCTAGAAAATGGCGAAGAGATCACTCAAATTATCAGAAATGAAGTTGTTTTGTCTTTTGCCTGGTCTCCAGGTGGAAATCTGCTTGCAATTTCCCATCTTTCGGGACTTATTTGTTTGGTTCATGCAAAGAATTGCTTTAAGGTGCTTGCAGAAGTAACCAATTCTTATGTGTGTGGAATAATTAAGTTTGCCCCCAGCCTTCAATTCCTTTGTTGTTTGTGTAGGGTTCCCAAAAAAGATGCGACTGGTAGAGCTTACACAGACAAGAAAGTTTTCCGCTTAACGGTCAGTAAATCACCTTCTGGCATCTTTTCGCTGGATCTTTCTGGCGGCAACTTTGACTACGTACCGGGGGTTGATGAATCGTTTAGTAAAAGTGGCTACTTGATGGGAGACCCTATCGCATATGATCGCCATCGTAGTCCATCATTTGTCTTAAACAATCAAAGTGAAGTAAGCACCCTATATATTGGAAACAAAAATATTGCAATGTACAGGACTGTGGAACTCCCGGAAACCTCTAGAAGTCTCCGTTGTGTTGCTTTTGCTGTAGATGGGAAGACCGTTTATGGTGTCACCGAAGAAAATGAAGAAGCACTGGTATCTGTGGATGTGGCAAGTGGAGAACTCAAAAAAGAGAAAAAGATTCGTTCTTTCGCCGTGGAACAACTTATACCTGTGATGCATGGTGTCCTTTTGAAAGGAACTGGGGTGGATGTTCAGATGTGGAATTCGGAGTTGTCGCAAGTCCGAAGTTGGCCCAGTTTATGTGGGGTTAAAAGAATAATGCCAGTTTCAGACCGATGTGTAGCGTGCTTGGGAAAAGAATCTGAAGTGAGCGTCCTTGACTCATCAAGTGGAGACATATTGAAGACCATTCCACTTCCACCTCGTCTTAAAGAGTACGAGAAAGATACCGTAAATATCAACAGTAAATACCAGCTCTTATTTGAAAAGCATGTTTCAGTTCACTTGTCAGACGGCAAAGGTTTACTGTGGGAGAGAACGTTTACCACTATTTTTTTCCCTGAGATGTTTTCTCCAACTGGAGAGTATTTCCTTCTCTTGGTCAAAAACGATTTGGAGCAAGAAGACGTAGTTGTACTTGATGCGTCTTCAGGAAGCACTCTCCACACACTATGCACAGTCGATATTGTTTTTGACTGCGCGTTTGTAAGTAACACGGAATGTGTAATTAACTGCGTCGGTCCTGCACAGAGATCTGGAGGTACCATTCTTCAGTTGTTTAATGTTACGACTGGGGATTTGTTAACTGTACTTGATATGTTTGTCGGCCCTCGGTGTTTGGCTTCCTTTCCGCAGAAGGGTTTGATTGCAGTTGGCCTTAAGTCATCCAAACGTTTGTGCGCATTTATCGAAGTAAAACTGCCGCGAGAGAATTTCAACCGGGAAGGTACGCAATGCTTTTTTTTTCCTCAAAATTATTTCGAATACTGAAAAAGTGTGGTAGAAACGTCCCTTATGAAAAGGAGCCTATGTGCGATATAATTTAATACGAATGCGATCGTGGAACCTCTTTTAAATGGCGTACTATTAAGCGGTCACCCTCTATTTAGCAGCCAATAGAGAGGAGAAGTGTGACGTCACGTTACCATGGTAGCAATGTTTCTGGATGACGACAAAACCAACGACGACGGCGTCGGCAAGGAGAACGGCAAAAAATAATATGTTTGTATTAACAAACAACAACTTTGCACGTGCATCACGCTATTTTGTACATTTCTTTGCCGTCGTTGCACCACTACGACATGGAACTTCCTATTTCACGAGCCCGCTTTATGGAGTAGGTGAACACAACACAAAAATTGTCGCTTTCTTTTTTTAAACTTAGATAACGATAGATACGGTCCCAAAGAAAATTTCACCAAGATTTGCCAAATTAAATGAAATTGAATAAGATCGGTGAAGCTTGAAGCAGTGCGAACCGACTTTTAAGTGACTTTATCGGTCTGTTGTCATCTAAAAATTTTGCTACCATGGCAACGTGACGTAACGACTTCTCCTCTCTTTTTTCAAAGTTCCAGCGGACAGCACTGTTAGTTAATCACTGTGAAAAGTGCGTGTAGTCTCAAAAAGGCGGCCAATCTTTTTGTTAAGCGTCTGTGCGTCTCTCTTCGCCGAGGGGAAGAGGTTTAATTTTGTTTTCTCTTCCATGCAGCAGGTATTTCCCTTATGGAAACTTTGGAGAAGGATTCCGATAGGAATCCTCCAATTTGCTAGTTCCATTCCTTCTTTTCGGATCTTTAGTCCCAGCTGATCTTTTTGATCTCGTAGTTCAATTACTAATCAACAATAGACCTTTTTGGCTTGGTTTGTTTGATGCCCTTCATCTGGTCTTGTGACGTTTACATGAGTTTCGGTTTCTTTGTGTTGTCATAAAATATACATTAACATACAATTACCCTGCTAGCAGACGTTTCTCTCTTGTATGGGTTTTAATGTTTACGAAGTCGTTCGCGGCACTTGTCAGTCGCATATTTGGTTTGTTTTGTACGTCTCCTGGGGAGTATAAACATGCCAACTACGCGACTTAAAAGCGACGTGAACGACTTCGTAAACGTTTAAAGCCATGCAAGAAGGAAAGCTCTGCTCGCAGGGGTAACATACATTTGAATAAAATAATAAAATTTGAACGAAACAGTTTTCTAGCGTATTTTAATGTAGTCCAAAAATAGCCAGGAAGAAAAAGGAAACATCCAAGCTAAAAGCGTCTATCATTACTGTGTTGCTATTTGCCAGGGTCAACTAGTTTTCGTCAGAGTGAATACGAGTTTCAATAAATTTTCCCCCTTAAGTCTCATATCGAGCCTCCAAGTCGATATCCATTCATTGGTAGCTGGTCTTGTTCGTGGAACCGAATTTTCAACGATAACTAGATGCCGAAAGGCGTTCACTGGGCTGCTGTATAACCTAGACAAGGCAGCTGGAAAAATTTTGTTTTATGGAAACGACAAGTTTACCACAACAGACAGACAACAGCTTATAAAGGGAAGTAAACCAACTAAACCCATCCTGATGCCCGGGTCTTTTCTCATTGAACCGATTTTACTGAGTCTAATTTATATATGGTTTACACGAAAACGTATTTTTGCCTTTTTCCCTTTCGTCTCTTCTTTATTTTTTTTCAGCATAAAGGAATTAAATCAGGTTGACAGAATGGAAAGGAATTAGAATAAAGTTTAGCCGAAATTATAGCACTGACTTTATTAGCATTCTAGGGTTGATGGTAAATGGGAATGCAGCCTTAAGTTGTTAAAGGATTTGTTGAAGAACTTCCAATTTGCGGCACTTAGTGTATAGAGTGAAACTTAATCGTGTTTAATGTATTGCAGAATCCCAACGATCAATACGTGGAGAGGAGCATCGTGTAGCTGTACGTCGACCGCGGTGCAAGTTGTAAGTGCGCAGTTCTTTAATCCCTCTTTCTAAATTTGATAGTAATACGTTCTTGAAGAGGCCTTAAGCTCATTGCTGGTTTGCACGTGACGTCACGGCGGTCATTTTGGTGGTGTGTTGGGGTTAAGAACAAAAGCATTTCTCTCCTCTGGGAACTTAATTCTATTTTCATGTAAATTCTAGTGAGAAAAAATTATATTGCATTGACCACCAACATGGCCGCCTTGTCACGTGGTTGTAAGCCAAGAATAAACAAAATGCTCCGACCGACAGTTACAAAGAAGATAAATTTTATCAGGGGGAAAAAGTTTCAAACCATGTCCGCCATTTTGCCATCCATTGCAACAGACGACAGAAAACAGTTTCAATGCCTAAACATAAACTTAATTTAAAAAAAACGACTGGACGGGGCCATTCTGAGTATTATGACGCTTCTTGAGACCTATTAGGATACAAAAGTCACTTTTGCGTTTTTGGTATTGATTTCATTCTTTCAACCTAAGTTAATTATAAACAGCTGTGGTTGGCATGAACGGTGCACAAAGCACATGCCATTTGCTATATTTAGTAAATACATCCAAACCTGTGTTGAGTGAACCTGTATTCAGCGGTTACCCTCTTTTAAGCGGTCACTTACCCTAGTCCCGGAAATAATTTCCTTTTTGAAGTTACCGTAAAACTGACCTGTGTTAAGGGGTCAGTCTAAATAAAGCGGTCGCAGTCACGTATCTTTCGAGTTATTTTTCACTACCTTCACGCGCTATTAAACGGGTCTTTTGTCAAGATCTACCACTTAACGTGCAATGGATGCACTGTGTATGGCGTGTAGTGCGGTGTCTTTTACCTTGTTTCTCTTTTCACCAAGAGAGATAGAAACACTCTGAGTTCAATCTGTCGTGTGATGGATATTTCTCTGTCACCATCTTCATTTTCTTGATTAACTCTTTTGGTTTGTCAAACTTAAATCGGTATGGGAGTGAAACACAAAGATTTGGTTACCGCACGTCAAACCTGTATTAAACGGTCAACCTGTATTAAGCGGGCAGTTAGCCATACCCCAAGGGGGGTTTAACTGTACACGGTACATCGGATAGACCCTATTGGCATCTGAGGGGATTAAAGTATACTTAACTGAACTGACCTGAATAGAGCTGTTGACAGTCTCTCATAGTTGATGTAGATGTCCCTGATATTTATGGTTGTAAAGTGTTTTAGTTTTATACCTCTAAGCAATTTTTGTCAACGTTTTATCTTTACTTATTGATCTGACAGGTTTTAAGCTTCGATAATAATGATGTAAAGGTACAGAGTGACGCCAAGCGGTTTGAACTGTGATGTGAAAACATGAATGGATGGCCGAAAAGCATGCCGTCAGGAGCATAACACGTTTATTAAAATGGTTTTTATTACTAGCATTTAAAGGAGGTACATCTGTTATATCCAGTATATCTATAAGCAAGTAAGCAGAAAACTTCTAGAATTGATGCTGATTCGGCAGGTTTTTTTGCAGGTCACAGGTTACAGGTCACAGGTCATAAATAAAGTTGGGAGACGATATATCTAAGGTTAGAAATATAGTGTTTAAAAATTTCAGTGTATACCTGCCAACTCTTAAATTTATAGGCGTGATATTTTTATCTTCAGAGTGCCAGAATTTTTTCGTAGGGGTCCGATAATATGCGAAGATGTCCGAAGACGTCCCGAAGACTTCCGTCTAACACGAACACGGGAACACAAAGGAACACGACCTCGTCTCCAGTGACTTTCCCTACTAAAATAAGAGAATTCAGAGCAAGTCGATCATTTACATGGACTTTTCTTTTCTCTCTTTGGTTCCGGTTGTTTAAATAATTAATGTGTTTTTCAACATGTGTTAGTTAATGACGTAATGGCTGAAACTTTTCCACCAGGCGTGACACCAGGCGCCATTATTTGGAAACAGCAACCGCTGAATAAAGGGCTCAAGGGCTCACAAGTTACCTTAGCGTTTATACCTA